AACAAGCACATATCACATTACAATTCTATACCGCATAAGAGTATAGAATAGAATTGTTATATGAAAAAATAAACAAAAAATTTGACTCATTAGAAGCTCGATTGTTCATCACGACTTGGAAGTCTCTACCGACGAAGGATATCGTTCATGCTGTTTTAGAACAGCGTGATCTGCCGAAGCTGTGGGATGTAGAAATACATCGGTAGGGGAGCGTTCCGCCTTAGAGGGAAGCCTCCGCGCGAGCGGCGGTGGACGAAGCGGAAAGCTGGAACTTGATTAAAGCTTATTTAGTAGGCAAGAAAACGAGATCAAACAAGCCTAATTTGAGCTTGATTAAAGCTCATTTAGTTAGTGGAACAAGCGAATGTTATCTAATTCTTAGCTTAGCCCAACTTTATGAAGGTTCACATTTGACCCTTATTTATAAATGATGAGTTGAACTCGAGTTCATTTAGTTAACGATAATAGCTCAATTTGATAAAGACCTAAGTCAGAACTCGTTCATCTCTTTTACCGATCTGGTATAGCATTGCTATAAAATTCTAAAGTGTGGTAAAAGTTTATAATATTTTTCTCAATGAAAATTTTGTACATGAGTTATATTTGATTTCAATAGACTACATATGATAAGAGTGAGTGGTAATAATAAGTGGAGTAATAATTATCCAAGAGTGGTGAACTCATGATGATTGAAAAAATTGACTAAAAATGATGATGAAAAAGCTTAAAAGAATACACATGTACACGTACTTTGAACAAACACGACTTCAAGCTTGATGGAGGAGTGGTGAAAGACTAAAAGTGCTAGTTTATTCCCCAATCAAAGTCACGACTTTATGGCCTTGAACAGTTCCTCCATTATAGTAACTGACCCAAGACATGAACATCAATTAATGGAAAAAAAGAAAACTTTTGAACTATTGTTTATTATTATTATTCTTCAATAAGGGAAAAGACGTGACTTAGGCCAAGAAATAGAGGTATTATATATACATGCAAATGCAATTCTTGATAAGAAAGAAAGTTGATAGATGGATTTGACAAATCTTGAACTCACTGTTTTGCCA